CACTTTTGATAGTACTTTAAGATGGGGAGAGAGAGCAAAGAAAACGTTCAAATCCGTTTCAGGGCGAGCGAGCCAAAAAGAAACAAATCACCGGAGATCAACACGATCGTGATCCTGAATTGATTAATACGGAGGAGCAATGCGCCCCTACTGATCACCAGCGAAACTCCATGGAATCTGGCAGTTCAGAAGGTTCTCGTGACATGCGCACAGGATACCTTAAAACAACTGCTCACAATGTATGATCAACCTTGAACCACTTTATTGTTTTAAAACATAAGCGTGACCATACTACTTGCTTGATGAGCTTCCTGAACTTCCTTTATTATTTCTCTTTTATTCTTACAGAAAATGCCAATCTCAATGTACATATTATTTAGCGGGTATGAAAGAGAAGCACCGCCGCAAGAAGAAAACGGAGAAGCGTTATTGTGGTGAGAGGATTTTGATTTTTTTAAGGATGCAGAGCCAACCGGTAATTTACCCGAGGATGCACAATCAACCAACAATGGTGAAGCAAAGAAAACAGATGATTTCATGAGTCAGGTTGCTTCATGTTTGAATATTAAGTGGGGTCAACAACTTATACGTGAAGCAGAGTGGATGTCGCTCACGCAGAGTCGTGACTGGGCAGCATTCCGTGTCCCGACACCATTTCAAAAATTACTTGCCAATTGCAAGGATGTCCTTGTAGGTCATCAAGATCAACCAGGGACACAGCCAAGAGGGAGGCCTGGCAGCATGTGTCTCTTGAAGCCGGTTTTATTTAATGACTCCGGGACTTTTGATGTGCCACGTCATACTGCTACATTGGCACAAAAGTTCATTACCTCAAGAACCAAGCGATGGTTGGAAGATCAGCCAATGCAGTTAAGGCTAGAAATTTCTCCCAATGACAAGCTAATGCTATGGGCTCGTATGCTAATGGTGAATCCGTACGACCGTACATATCTCAAGAAGGCCGGCGTACTCCGAGGCATAATGGCGTCTATTTATAAATGCAAGATAGATCCTTCATTAGTGGCCGCCTTTTTAACTTATTGGAATGTGGATGGACACACTTTAGTCACCAGCCAGGGAGAGATGGGTTATCCTCTCCATACAATGTACGATGCCATGGGCATACCAATTTCAGGGCGCCTTTATGAAGAATTTATCCCTTTACCATCCACAGCTCGTGGGCATGTGCAGACTCTGCACAATATATATGTTGAGGAGTGTCCCCTACAACTAAATGAGGGTCCTGGAATAGTAACCATCGCGACATGGGTCAATCACTTCTTCGGCGACCACCCTGTGCCTTTTCAGTCATTTTTACCCAATGGTTTTGCTGATCCAAAAAAACCTTTATATGAGGGCCCAAATTTTCGTGTTGAGATTCGGAATGGCCGACCCACTGCTATCATGTGTGGTCTCGAAATGACTTACGTACACACCTACCCATTGGTGGTGTACCGGGCAGCTTTTATCGCCGCATGGTTATGCACATATTGCGTTCCAGTGGAGGAAGGCAACTTTATTCGCCCCGAGGTTTTTACTATGGCAATGGAAATCGCTCAAGGCAGCCGCTGGGCCATTGGTGTTACAAGCATGGCATTTTTATATCGTGCCCTGGACAATGTCTACCACCAAGTAGCTGCACGTCAGGCTTCTGCGAGTGACTGTTCTTCATTTGTGCCAGGCCATTTTATTATGGGCTGGTTTGCATCTTTTTGGAGAGGGTTCCTACGTCGGCAACTTTATCTTGCCCGGTGATGAACCCGCCCTTTATTATAGACTTCAGAGACTATGAGTCTATGGATATTAAGAGCGCACATAGCTTATTTTGGGATTTTAATGATGCTGGAACGGCTTTACGTTCACTGGACTTCTTGGGACGGTCCAGCATCCGTTTTCCCACATCCGACCAGGAGGTCGAGTTATTTGATGACCGTTCTCCCAAGGCACACAGGGCAATTTCCATGGCAGCCGTGGATTTCTTGGTCAGCTGCACTGTTGGCGGCGTCACCTATAGGAGAGGTGAAGTTTTTGACAATTTGGTTTACTGTCCTCATCGATTCGCTCGCATGTTCAACTATGACCAGCATGTCCCCAATTTCCTTATGATCACCATTAACAGGACACGTAGCCTTGATTTTCCAAGTTACCTAAATGGCAATTCTAGGGATGAATCGCTGCAACTTTTGCAACGGCGCCACCTAGCTTTTCATAGGCCGAGGGGTCACTCAATATTTATTCAACCTTTCGCCCGGGACACCATACGTTCACTTGATTACATCAACGGGTGCTCTCAAGCTTTCAATTTTCTAAAGCATCCGAGCCTATTCTGTTCACGGTCAAAACACTCCACCAAAGCTGCAACTACGAAAAATGCACCCGGGGCAGAAACATCAGGCATGCAGTTTACCAAATTTTTTTTAAAGAAAAATATATACTCTGTTATCAATATGAATGGTCATTGGTTACTGTTTCCTCTAATTTATTTTCGTCCCCCTTCTTTTTTTTAGGAGGTTCAGGAGGTAGGGTGGGCACACCTAAGCAAAGAACAGCCAAGTCTGTCTCGATCTCTCCTGAGCACCAGGAGGAGAGCGCTCAAACCGAGATCAAGACAACGTTGCCATTACCCGCCTCGAGTGCGAACCCTACAGAGATTGTGAGGGTAGGACCCGACCGGTCTGGAAAAGACATCAAGAAAATCAGAACATGCATTGCCAACCCAGACAATGTCACAACTCATGTGTCTGCCCAAGCCTCACAACAGGAGTTATTAGTGTTACCTCCTCGAAATGAGACTGTACTCAACTCGTCAGCCATGACGCATATCGACCCCTACAGTGAAGGGTTGGCTATTCCACATGATGATATAGGCACTCTGCCCACAGATCTTCTTACAGGCGATTTTTCTGATCTAGCCACTCTTTTGGATGGAGGGGCAAACCCTGAAACCAGTCTCTGTTTAGATTCGCCCATTTTTCCGGGTGCTACTCAGAAGGACAACGTTAATTCGCATCTCCTAGAGGACGACGAGACGCGTACCGAGGCTTGTGCTGATACAGTAAAAGGGGGCACCTCTCATCACGGTACAACTCATTTATTTTATTTTATAGACATTTCTGTTTGTTCCTTTTTTTATACAAATAACCAATTTCATGCACTCCCTTCCTTCTTATGTGTTTCAGCTTCACTGACTGGAGTTGAAGAGTTGTCCAATGAATCCAAGAAGTTATCTATGGATGTTGAGCAAATCGTCGCACAAATTCTAAAGGCACCGAACGTAGACCCTGGTGCAGGGGAAAACTCCTAGTTCAAGGGATTTCATGGGAACAACTCGGTGACCCTGCCGAAACTTTCAGATGATGTTTCAGCTCGTGGTCTTAAACATGTCTGGTCTGAGATCAAAGCGTTTCAAGAATTACTCAAACAACGCCCGATACAGAAGGATATTGTGCTTAAAGAGATAAGCATCAATCTGGATTTGTGGAGTAACTTCTTCTCAAAACCACCTCCTGAAATAATTAGGCTAATGGAAGGGTTACGTGTGCAAAAGGGAGCGCTATCAGAGGAAGCGCCACTGCCAACCACTAAGATTGACCATCATATTGATATGCTCCGCACTGCTCAAGACAAGGTGGAGTCATCGTGCGTCGCTTTGGCAGCACTAACGAGTCAATATAACGTAGAACGGGCTGTAGAAGAAGGCAATAAGAGGGAGTGCTCTCGACAAGCCCAGAAAATCAAAGCAGAGATAGCAATGTTGCAAGCAAAACTTCAACAGGTGGAAGATGATTATTCCCGTGCTCAATGCCACCAAGATGTTGTAATAGAGAACTTGAACTCCCATCTTGAGCGACATCGACAAGCTAAGGATCGAGGATATGAGATTGCGGCACAGTTAGAGCAGGCGAGCGTACACCAAAAGTCTCTCCAAAATATTGAAGACTTTACTAAGCCAGACGAGTTTGGTCTGTCCCAATATGTCTACAATATATTTGATTTTTTCATAGGCTGCTCATTAGATGAGTAGACGCTGTTTTAAAATCTTGTTTCAGGCTTGTAATAGCTCTTCAGATATTTTATTTGTTTCTGATATAACAGAGTGAACTCCTTTATTTGCTATTATATACTTTGATTTGCACCAGAACAACGGAGTGAACTCCTTCAAATTTAATAGGAGCGTTGCATTGTTACCAACCGTCTTTGTGCACTGGCTTCTTCCTTTTTTTTCTTTATATATATACATTTCCTCACATAAAAGATGCTCACGTTCAGATTTTTTAGTGGCTTTACTACTGTAGCAGTAACAGTAACGCCACTAATTCTTCACGATTCTGGTTCAGCCATAGATTTTTTTTATTCAATTTTTTTTACTGGCTTTTAAAAGACCAGCCTCCCCGCTATAGAAATTATAGCGAAATTCATGCAACAATGCAAATGTCGATAAATATACCATAGCGAAGATTCATGCTATGACATAAAATTCCTTGTGGCGAAGAATCATGCCGCGGCGTGAGAACAAAAAAAAATTTAAGGAAGAAAACGTAGCGAAAAATTCGTGCCACACACTGATGATTATATGGCGAAGTAATCATACCATCTTATAAAATTCTATTGCGACCAAAATAAATCGGTGCCAACCAATAGAAAATTAATCAAGCTAGACGCGACCGTTAAAATGGTTACGGTACTAGGCGTCTAAACTCGAAGGGTTTCACAGTCCTGCATTGACCGTACTGGCATGCTTTACTGCTCCCAAATATTGACTGACCATCATCCGAAAATCATAGATGCTGGTTCAGTGCAACTGTACGTAATTGACTGGGCCACTGTGAGAACGCGTCCCAGTATAAACTTGATAGGATTAATTGCCGTCCGAAAATCATAGACGTTGGCATAATCCAATTGTTCATGAAATAATAAGATCACTGTAGAAAAATTCGTTACAGTGCAGAATTGTTGGAATTAATCGTCGTCCGAAAATCTTGGACACGGGTGAAACCCAATTAAATAATAAAATCACTGTAGAAAGCACATTACACTGTACAACTTATAATATTAATTGTCGTCCGAAAATCATGGACATTGGTATGATCCAACCATATATTAAGTAATCATATCACTGTAATAAGAACACCACAGTAAACTTAGTAGGAATAATTTCCGTCCGGAAATCATAGACGTTGTCATCCTTCTTTTCTTTTGCCACGTGTTTTTTTTGCCACGCGTCATAAAGGCCTTCTTCACACACATCTTGTAAATTCAGGCTTCAAATATTATTAGCATATGAGACGGATGCCCCCGCCGAGTAGAGTTCATGTGCAAAGCAACAGGGACTCGACTCGGGGAAACAATAAATGAGTTGTCTTGTTTCCAAGGAGGAGAGAGAAAAAAAATATGTGGGATTTTTTTTTGTGTGTTGGCTTTTCTTCCGGTCGCCAAGCTATGAGGTAACGAATGGCAAACTGCTGGAGGATGTAATATGCCCTCAATTTCTGAATAACGACGGGATCTCGCTTAATGCTTCAACTCCCTCGTGTAACTTGTGATAATGAGCTCACGTTTCATCAGGATCTCTTGAAAACAAAGGGGTCTTTTCTGAGTTTTCCTTCAATTATGTGCCTCATATTTTTTACCTTTATCCCAGGAAGGAGGATAGGATAAGGCTATATTTCAAAGGTGGTTTGGGTCAATAGGCTATGAAATTGCCATTACTTTTGCTGAGGGTGGGAGATGACTACTTCCCGCTTTCAGATTGAAGAAGAGCAACCAACCCGGCTACAGGCTGCTGCCAAGACATTGCCATACTTTCGCTCATTTTCTTGACGATGTCGCTCGAGATGGGAGTTCAAGTTCTCTGTTACAACATCTTGTCGGTGTTGTGCACTGGAGTGGGCATCTTCCACTTGTTGAAGTCTTGCTTGCAACACTGCTATCTCTGCTCTAACTTTCCGTGCTTGTCGTGAGCACTCTCTCTTGTTGCCCTCCTCTACTGCTTGCTCTACATTATATTGACTCGTCAGTGCCTCCAAAGCGACACACGATGACTCCACCTTGTCTTGAGCAGTGCGGAGCAGATCGACGTGTTGGTTAATCTGGTCCTGTTGTGCGAGAACAAGATTAGTAGTTGGCAGTGGCGCTTCCTCCGATAGCGCTCCCTTAAGCACGCGTAACCCTTCCATTAGCCTAATTATTTCAGGAGGTGGCTTTGAGAAGAAGTTACTCCACAGATCCAGGTTGATGCTTATCTCTTTAAGTATAATATCTCTCTGTACCGGGCGTTGCTTGAGTAATTCTTGAAACGCTTTGATCTCAGACCAGACATGTTTAAGACCACGGGCTGAAACAACATCTGAAAGTTTCGGCAGGGTCACGGGGTTGTTCCCATCAAATTCTTTGAGCAGGGAGTTTTCCTCTGCGCCACAGTTCATGTTCACCGCTTGTGAAACTTGGGCGATTATATGCTCAACATTGATAGACAACTTCTTGGATTCACTGAACAAGTGTTGAATCCTAGCTGGAGCACATGAGAAGAAGGGTAGTGTGTGAAATTGATTACATAAAAAAAAGGAAAACAGAGTGGACAGAGAAGTATAAAATGAAAGAAACCAGTTGTACCTTGCAGAGTGGTTTCTCCTGCCCGCATGACAGAATTATCCCCATTACAATGCTTACTAGTGGCTTCGGGGCCCACTGCCTTGTTAGAAACTCCATCTGGTCGTCATCAAGAAGCTTACTAGTAGGTTGAGTTGGGGGCATGGTGCAGATAGTATCACACGGCGTGTTTGATCCTCCGCCGGAAAAATCAACATATGTTGCGGTATGATAGATATGTTATGTTTCCCTGTGAGGAAGCTGTGATGATCCACATGAAAAAATAAGTCGGTGGCCCTGTTTGATGTTCAAACAAGAGGCTACTTTAGACAACCACATCCACTTCTTCGCTGTCCCGATTGCCGTTACATCTTCGGGTGAGATATTTTGCTGGTCAATGTGATAGAAAAATTTGAAGTCATCACACCAAAGAAACATCTCGCCATTATCTTCTCTTGGCGCCTTCTTGGCTAGTCCACTGTATAATGTGTAGATTGAGGACGCCTCAACATAGGGGTTCCCCTTTTAAAAAAAAGAGGCACTTATAAGATGGATCAATTCACGGAAGAGTTTAACGATTCAGAACCTAACTTCTGTCCCTTTTTTTTATTATGATCTTTTCGCCGTGAGATTTTTGCATGCCAAGGCCCCTCCCTTGCTGGGAAGTTTCCTTGATACCTTCATCACTATCATGGCCAGGCAATGGTGGGTCATCTGGGATCTCCTGCCAAGTATAAGTGGGGTTGCACACGCTGGTATGATCGGCACGATCACTAGCCTTCTGCATTTTCTTGTCTTGAACAGTAGCAAAGAAATTCGATCGACTGCTTTCCCCAGTCGATCACCGTTAATTTGCAGTAGCTCTGATCGAAGATTTTAACGATCTAACATGAGCTCTGTTTTAATTACTCGATTAAGAAGCTGTACAGACTTTATTTATATATATAGGACATACGGCCATGAGCCCGTATGATACATGAACTCGGCTTCAATATATATCAGATCATGCACGTCATTTGCCGATTGGCAGCCAGCTTGTGAATCAAGCCATGTACCACACGGAGATGGATTAATCCTTCGTAACAATATACTACTGAGTATTTCACCGAGTGAAGTCTGTCCTGCTTCGCGTACAAACTACACTCGGTGGGGGGCATTTGTTTGATGAATTTTTGTGCTAAAAATTCATAGAAGAAATAATAAATTATTGGGCATTTAATTTTATATGAGAATATTATTTGTAGCACAATTTTACTGAATATATACGAGACGTGTCTATATGACATGTGGGTCTAGAAATTTTAAATATTATGGTGTCCGAATATATTCGATATTGGACTCGTTTTGTTGTATAATTGAATAGAAAGTGATGGTTCAAATGGATTTTAAATCCGATATACGATTCAAAAGATTGGAACTATTAAAACAAAAGAAATAAGAAGTGCTATCGTTACTACGTGAGCATGCATGGTCATTGGCTGTGGCGATTAAACATATGGGGCCCACTGTCATTAGACATGTTAATCACATAATTATCTCCAGACTGCAGTACACGTTGACGGATTGGCTCGTCTCTGCGTCGGCTTATCACGAAGATTAGCACAGGGCGCTGGAAATTCGGAGGCCGCTTCCGTCGCCGCTGCCTATATAAGAAGCAGAACCCATCTAGAGCGGGGGACGCCGAGGACGCCACAGGAGACACCCATCTGCCCATTTTCATTCATCCCATTCTTCTCAGTAGATTAGGAAAATCAGGAGAGGAGATTGAAGCCGGCCGGTGATAGCAAACCGGCGCCGCTGCGGAGAGAATTAAACACCGCAGCCGGCGTCCTTCATCAAGTCGAGTCATTTATCGACAACATGCCGCCATTCAGGATATTTGCGCTGGATGGTGAGCACATTGAATAAATATTAATTTTCTAGATTAAACACAATAGATGTTCGGTCCTTATTGGCGATCGGAACATCTGCGCGTTTTTAATCTATCTTGATCTTGATGATTAAAGCCAGATCAATGAGAGCCGAAGCACGGTTATCATCAAACTCCATTTATACAATCGATGGTATAAGGCTGGTTCGGTCCTCATTGGTGATCGGATTATCTGAACACTATTTGATATATTTTCTATGCTCAAAATTAGATGTCCGGCCCTCATTGGAGATTGGATCATCTATTTGTTACTATGATACCGATAACAACAGCTTTAGATATTTCCAACTTTCATTGGTGATTGGATAATCTAACCGATGTTTTACAAAATATATTTTGATACCATGCACACACATGGGAGCTATTCGTGATCTTTGGAAGTTAAAAATTATGGCCGAGTATTTACGAGGCCGGTGTCACGATATTATTAACATGTCCAAACATATAGGAACGGATACATGTTACTAGGTTCCGACGAGGCAAAAGTAACGATATATCCACATCTAATAAAGGCTGGCATATATGACTGGGCACCGACGAGGCAAAAGTCATCCCCTTTGTTATGATACCTGACTCATGTATGGACATGGTGATAATATATTGTGACCAGGTTTCGGCAAAACAAAGCCACCTATATCACAGTTATCATTAAATCTCTGCACCAACTTCAACCTTCGGCGAGCAATCAATTTTGAAGACGACGATCACAAGCGCAGCTTAAAATAAAACAAAAGAAATAAGCAAGTGCTATCGTTACCACGGGAGCATGCATGGTCCTCGGCGTCCCCCGCTCTAGATGGGTTCTGCTTCTTATATAGGCAGCGGCGACGGAAGCGGCCTCCGAATTTCCAGCGCCCTGTGCTAATCTTCGTGATAAGCCGACGCAGAGACGAGCCAATCCGTCAACGTGTACTGCAGTCTGGAGATAATTATGTGATTAACATGTCTAATGACAGTGGACCCCATATGTTTAATCGCCACAGCCAATGACCATGCATGCTCACGTAGTAACGATAGCACTTGCTTATTTCTTTTGTTTTAATAGTTACAATCTTTTGAATCGTATATCGGATTTAAAATCCATTTGAACCATCACTTTCTATTCAAATTATACAACAAAACGAGTCCAATATCGAATATATTCGGACACCGTGATATTTAAAATTTCTGGACCCACATGTCATATAGACACGTCTCGTATATATTCAGTAAAATTGTGCTACAAATAATATTCTCATATAAAATTAAATATCCAATAATTTATTATTTCTTCTATGAAGTTTTAGCACAAAAATTCATCAAACACCAGATGAAAAGAACCAAATGCTGATAACTTGTTCAATTGTGCTTACCTGGAATCTCTTGCATTACATTCACTTGTTTCTTTTGCATTACGCTCTCTTGCTTTGCCTTCTGCATCATTTGACTCCGTAGCCGACTACACCAAAATAAATGGTAAAGCAGCAAAAACACAAGATGATTAATGCAACTAGCTCCAGATTGTGATAAAAGAAGCATATGTACATAAGACACACTAGTCAAATAAAGTGTGAACTTGTTCAGTTGGCTGTCTTAATGCCCAGTATTAAATTTTGCTTTTCAGCAGAGCAAACGGTCATCAGACTGAGCTGTAGTTTTTGACACTGCAATCATCATTTTCTTTTATATCAAGCTGTGATGTTTATAATTGGTAATTCGTACCAAGACTAACTTAGGACCAAATTTATTAAGGTCATGTGCTGGCAAATCAGTACAACGTTCACGAAATGACAAGCTCTACTAGTTGAACTGCACAGAAAATAGAGAATGTAATGCAATTTACTGAAGAGGCAATGACAACGTATTATAGAAGAGTACAAAAGGATAACACCAAGTTAGTTACTGCTTGAATCATCGTTAACAGGAAAATAGCATGGCGTTCAGACAAATATGTTCATGTCTCGACACAGCAAAGCAATCGCCGAAGTACTATTAGTTAGTCATTTAGCTCATAAAGACATGCTATGTTTCAATACAGCCAATTTGCTAGCCATTTAACCAACGTGTTCCCTTTATGTTGGAAAACAAACACAAAGTAGCCAGTGCTAACCTAAAGAATATAACCAAACAGAAGGGACACATATCGAACCTTTGGATGGGATTCTTTCTCAGATACGAGGTGAAGTGGCTGGGGAAGAAGTATTCGCCGTGAAAGACTCTCTTATAGGCCTTGCAACGGGAGGGTCCTTGTACCTCTTGCACTTTCTTTATTTCATCATCATCTTCTTCTTCTTCTTCCACCTGGATGTAGAGGGTGGGCAGTGACCGCAGCACCTTATTTGTCATGTCCAACTCAACGATCCAAAACAGGAACTCATCATCGATCTTTTCCATGAGCAGGAAGGAAACGACACCTGGATCAACCAAGCTCAGGTGAGAAAAAGTCGGCACAGCACGCGGAAGAGCACAGGTGTGACCTACGGAATTAGCACAAAGATCCCAGAACTCGGCGGCTTCCATTGTAAAATCCAGTTCCCAGGTCTTTTGGTCGATGCTGACCAGAGTCCATGCCGTGATGGTGAAAGCAGGAGGGTATACATCCTTGTCTGCGGTGGCGGCAATGGTGACGCAGACCAGCTTGATGAAGAAGCCACTGTCACTACTACCTCTAACACAAACACAGCGAACTGGGTCGGCGCAGTAGGACTGGCTGAACAAGCGGGTGCTGCCATCTCTCACCGGTTTGGGGAGCGGGATGAAGCTGAATTGATGTGGCTCGTCCCCAGGGTTGAGGACGTCGATGAGCAGGATGCCCTGGTAGTAGTCGACCCAGCACAGGAAGCGGTCGTGGAGGGGGAGCACGGCGTCGGTCCTCCACTCGCCGAGGTTGAGGCCGAGCATGCTCATGGCGCGACGGACACGCAGGGGAGTGATGCTCCACTCCTCCGCTTCCCCTGATTGCACAACACAGAGCTCCACCTCCTTGCTCCCACTGGATGTGAGGTGCGCCACAGTGAAGAGCGACCGGCCGTCCTCGCCGTCGCCGTCGCCGTCGCGGCACAGGAGGCCGACGTCTCGGCTGCACATGTAGCGCTGCCGCTGCTGGTGGTACGGCTGGTACAACTCGTCCTCCTCCTGGTCGGTGAAGCCGCCGACGAAGCAAGGCGGCAGCCGCGTGAGCAACGGCTGCGAGGAGGGGGAGGCGGAGTAGATGAAGTAGTCGAGGGGGTAGTGCCCATCGACGTTGAACCCGGGTTCCTCGAAGGGGACGGCGGCGACGAAGAGGATGCAGCCGCGGTGGGCGGCGATGACGTCGGGGTAGCGGACCTCGGGGAGGTCGGCCGGCCACTGGGGAGGGCAGTGGAGGTAGAGGCGGGAGACGGCGGGCGGGTCGGCGACGCGGAGGGAGGCGCGGACGGGGAAGCCGGTGCAGGTCCGGCCGACCTTGGACGCCGTGATGTCCTCCTCCTCGTACTTGTGCCTCCTCCGCCAGCTGCAGCGGACGTACGGGTCGAGGACAATCCAGTCCGCCGCCCCCGCCGGCTCCGGCGATCCCCGGCCTTCTTCCATGTCGCCGCGCCGCAGTTCGGTGTTCGGTTCGGATCGGATCTAGCTAGGGTTTTACCTCCCACTCCCAGATGTCTCGCCGCCGGCTGGAGTGGGATTGGAACAAGGGAAAGGGGAACTGAATGGGGATATTTCCTCGGGAACGGGAAGGAACGAAACGGATCCCCTCCTGTTGAATTTTTTTTATTTATACATTTTTTTATTAAAATATTTACAAAAATAATTTTTTGTTTCGAAAATTTACAAATCTAATTGCCTGCCGCCTTTAAAAATCACCCTCTCAAAGGGCGGCAAGGGACCTAAATACAAAATTTTTATTTGTGTTCAAACCCTTCCCACCGGTTTTAATTGCTTAAAAACTAATAATGCTTATTCGATACTCCAAATGATTTTAAATGGAAAAGTGATAAACTACAAAGTTAGATCTCATCAAGATCTACAACTTTATATAAAGTTTATCTCCATCCAATGTCGTTTGAAATGTAGATCTGAGATTTTTTAAAATGTGTTTTATATTTTGTAACGAATATTTGGATATCTAAAACATCTTAAATGAAAAAGTTATTAACTACAAAGTTGTAGATCTCCTTGAGCTCTACAATTTTGATATAAAGTTTTATTTCATCTGACTTTATATAATATAATTTTAAATTGTAAAATTATAGAGCTAACAAGTTATGCTGGAAAATTTACATTTAGGTCCCTTGCCGCCCTGTGGAAGGGCGATTTTTAAAAATCGCCCTCCCAAAGGGCGGCAGGCGATTAGATTTGTAAATTTTCGAAACAACAAATTATTTTTTAAATATTTTAATAAAAAAAAGTATAAATAAAAAAAATTCCTCCTGACTTTGGGGGGTGGAAAGTTACGGTGTCGCTGCACTTGGTTTCATCCCTGCCGACCAGTTCATCCAACGGCACACATCCATCTTCCCTCCTGCATACCCTATTCATATTGGGCTACCCAGTTCGGCCTGCAACTGTGGCCATCGGCTTGCCCATCAGGCCACATTGACTTTGTTGCCTGCTACCACATGCGCGAATGCAGATTTTCTTTATTTTTAATTTTATATTTATTAAAATATTTTGAAAAATAATTTTCTATTCGAAAAATTTATACAGAACTAGTAGCCCATCGCCCCGACGATTTTATCGACGTGGCAGACGACCATTAGCCCTCGCCTAACGACCGGCCACCGAGAGCACCGAAAATTTACAGGCGGTCCCATTGCCACCCTCCCAGAGGGTGGTTTTTGGCTCTAGGTGCCCGCCTATAAAAGGGCTAGGAGGGCGGCTTGGAGTCAGCAAACCGGCATGGCTTCGCCGCTTCCCTTTTGCTCTCTCTCTCTCGCCCTTCCCTCCTTTTGGATTTTGAGTGAATATAATGTAAAATCGGAGAGGTACAAGGGGTTTTATACCCCGAGGGCATAAAATCACCCTCCCAGAGAGTGGCAAGGGGGCCACCTACAAGTGCCATGCCATCCTCGCCACCCTTTTGCAGGCGACCTCCCGCACATAAAAAAAAACCCTCTGGAACGGGACAAGGGGTCCACCTACAAAAATGCTGGGCCGAGCACCTGCACATTAAAAAATCGTATAATCGACCGCGTTGAATAATTCAAAATAAGACAAGTTTCAAGTAACATCATTCATGCACTGTAAATCGACAACTAAGTTTTGGACAACACTATAAGGCAAATGGCTATTGTGACTAAAACAAGAATAATTAACTATTTACCACGTTTACAAGTGGTGATAAAGAATTTGTCACTGGACCCATATATCATAGACACATGAGGACCCACATGTTATAGACAGTGTCAGATTATGAATACCGCGTACCTAATAGTAGTTGACTAAATCTCGGCATGAGCCACCACATACCATGTCCTATATGGAAACAACCTGCGGATATAGGAGGAGTTCCGGGTAAGGAAAGACAACCAGAGTTCTACATGGAAACAACAAGGACTACTCGGATTGTATCCATATTGGTTTCCCCTAGTTCTACTTGAACAAGAGAACACCTATAGGTATAAATACAAGGCCCCCTATGAGGAGAGGGGATACGACCACCTCAATCAACACCCACCATAGAAGACAAGAACAATAGATCAAGACACAAGATCAACATATAAGCCAACATACGCCAAGACAAGACGTCGGATATCGACTTCAAGGATAAGCACGGCTAGTCCCCTACCTGGCACGCCACTGTTGACGTTTGATGTCGCGATTCTCTCGAACTAGTACGTAGCAATCTCCCGCACCGTAACCTCCATTGGTATTCGAGAGATGATTCTACTCGCTCGCTAGTTCTCGAACCAGTACATAGCAATCTCCCGCACCGCAACCTCCATTGATGTTCGAGAGATGATTCTACTCGCTCGCTGGTTCTCGAACCAGTACGTAGCAATCTCCCGCACCGCAAGCTTCCATTGGTGTTCGAGAGATGATTCTACTCGCTCGCTGGTTCTCGAACCAGTACGTAGCAATCTCCCGCACCGCAAGCTCCCTGGTTCTCGAACCAGTGCGTAGCAATCTCCCGCACCGCAAGATTCCATTGGTGTTCGAGAGATGATTCTACTCGCTCGCTGGGTCTCGAACAAGTGCGTAGCAATCTCCCGCACCGCAAGTTTCCATTGGTGTTCGAGAGATGATTCTACTCGCTCGCTGGTTCTCGAACCAGTGCGTAGCAATCTCCCGCACCGCAACTTTCATTGGTGTTCGAGAGATGATTCTACTTGCTCGCTGGGTCTCGAACAAGTGCGTAGCAATCTCCCGTACCGCAAGCCTTCATTGGTGTTCGAGAGATGATTCTACTCACTCGCTGGTTCGCGAACCAGTGCGTAGCAATCTCCCGCACCGCAACTTCCATTGGTGTTCAAGAGATCATTCTACTCGCTCGCTGGTTCTCAAACCAGTACGTAGCAATCTCTCGCACCGCAACTTCCATTGGTGTTTTGTTTTATAAGAGAGGAGAGGTGGCTACATGGCCCTATATGTTTTGTTTTATTTTTTTTCCTGATGAGGATACCACGTTAGCGAAACCAACCATCGATCCATACTACCATAAGACTTAGTTTAACCCAATTTTATAAGTTGTAGGGTCATACTTTCTCCATCCCAAATTATAGGATGCCTCTTCTTAAAAAGTTAAACTCGATAATTTTAACTAATAATCATACTAACCCTATCTTCCAATCACTAACCATATCTTGCAGTAAATGTTGAATAGGGGATGCATCGGTTCGTGCTCCTCCATGTATAGCCGCTTCCCAAGTTCCCAACCTCCTCCTCAGTCCTCACGTTCACATCTCCCAAGAACGATACGCGTGGGACCCACCATCCCCACGCCCCAATTCACCACCCAAGCCGACTGACAGCGAGGCCCCACACCTCCAACCCCACCATCCGACCCCACACGTCAGCCACATAACCCAAACCACCCCTCGTACGCAAAGAAAATAATCTCCGCCGCGGCAGCGCGCTGTCCCCTCTGCCTCTGACACGCGCAGCGCCAATAACGAGACAAACCCGAGGAGGAGGAAAAGGATCGCTGGCCCCACCTGGCAGGTGACACAGCCGAGGAGGGGGGAGGAAGGTTGGCCCCCACCTGGCAGTGATTCATCAGGGGCCACGTGGCGTGAGGGATTTCAAACCTGGTGGTGGTTTTTGTCCATGGGGTCAGCCATGATCGCTGCGGCCTGAGCTAGCCCGAAACGGCAAAAGACCAAAGCTGCAAAACTTTTTCCCTCTCGCTCGGTCTCTCCTCTCTCGAGGAGAGTGCAGCGGCAGGAGTGGGGGTAGTCGCAGCAGCGGATCAGACACACGAACAGAGAGAGAGAGAGAGAGCAGACAACGAGTACTTCGCTTTGGTTTGATTTGTCTCCTTCCCGTGGTGTGTTGGTGGAGGAGGAGAGGAGGAGCATTTGAGATTGGAGAGGGGGAGGGGGAGGAGGAGGAGGTTGGTGCAGTACTGCTGGGTGCGGTTCGGGGGAGAAGCGCGGATGTGAGAGGTGAGGCGCGCAGCGTCCAGCGATCGAGGAGATCGTTTTGATGTTGATTCGGTTTGGGGGGTTTTGGTTGCCTTGTTTCTCAGATTCGTGTGTTTTAGTTGGGTTTCTCGTTTTTTTCGAGGATTTTCGCCGGGATCCGTGTGGTTTTGGCCCCCCTCTTTTTGCGCGTTTCGTTTCCTCGAAGCTCTCGTCGCGAGCATGGCGTACGTCGCCTCTGTTGCTCGCCGAAGCGACGAGAGGGGGAGGAAATGGTGCTCTGTTTCCGGTGGTTTCGTCGTGAGATGTTGGGGTTTGACAAGCGCCGGGTTCTCGCTGGCTTCCATTTGCCTGGAGTTCTCGTGGATTAAATATGCCGTTATGTATATTGCGATGATGCGGTTTTTTTTCGCTTGTGCTTTTTGCGTTTTGTGTGGGTTTGGGAAAATTTTTAACTACCTTGCGGTGCTTTCATTTGATTTCTGGATTTTGGATTGATTTGCCTCATTTGACAAGGATTTTTGAGGATTTTAATCATTCCCCGTGCAAAGTAGGGGAATGCTTGATTATTCTCTTTTCCTTTTTCAGAATCTCCGTTCGGATTTGTCCGATGCACAAGTCATCCATGCGTACTGCTAATATGCGTCGTCTAGTGTCTCGGCGCTTCTGGATTGACCAGTGCTAGGGTTTTAGGTGCTGTTCGTTGATGGCTTCATGCCTTGTTTTCCTTTTTTTTTTTTTGGAGATTTGGGCTTTTCGATGATTTACGTTCGTGTGTATTCCACCTATTTGTGGTGCCACGATTCGACCAATTTCAGCCGCCGTGCGAAATTTTCCTTGTCGTGCCTGCTTAAAAGCAGAGGCGACTGATGGATTCGTGGAATTCCATTTTTGTGAATCTGTCTGCAGTTTCAGTCCCATCTCCTGGTTCTTCCGCTTGCTGCTTTTGTTTGAAAATGTTTAGCGTACAGTGCGGCGATGGCTCGAGTTTCGTGGGTTTCTTTCTGTACAGAGATGATATTTTGTTTCTTGATTTCGTTTATGTGAGGCTATGGGTTTTCGGTTGATGTAAACTTGAGCGAAATTTATTTATGTGTTCGTTGTGTTCATCTGTGTTTCAAGTGTTTGAAGAGTTCGTTTTGTGGTTTGATTTTGGCAGGACGCGAGTG